CAAAGAATATCTTCGTTTTTTTTTTTTTTGGAGGGGCAAAATTATTTAGTTAAGAAACTGTTTAGCACTTTATTTTCGAAAAAGTCTTGTACATTCTAAAAGTCCAGTGATTTACAAATGTTGTGCGATTCGGTTCGAATGAACGGTTCGAAAGAACGACTCGTTCACGATTCGAACATCGCTAGTGGATGGTGCGGCAGGAGCAGCAAAGAGAGCGCAGTCTCCGGGAGGGCTTCGGCAGACCGTTAGGCTGTTCACATCGTCTTCAGACATGGCAAAGGAAGGGACTGAGATTGCTGAAGAGACCGAGCAAATGATGGAGCCGGATAATCCCGTTTGTGCGGTTGTAGATTCAAAAGAAATGCGGGCTGTGGTGCTGACGGGCTTTGGTGGTATAAACAAACTCAAAGTCACCAAGAAACCAATGCCAGAGCCTCAAGGAGGAGAAGTCAAAATTCGCGTGAAAGCATGGTAAATATTTCATCTTAAATAGTCTTTTTCAACATGCGTAATGACTATGATGTGGCACATCTGAGACTTCGCGCGACTGGCAGCAGCAGCAACATGTTGCCGCAAGAAGAACAGGTGTCTTCAGAATATCCATATCAGTCATTTTATTTAGGGTTCAAAACCGTTCATGATATGAATGTTGGTGGTTCGATGCTTCATCAGAAAAAAGAATCCGTATCTGTATTGTTGATTCCTCTGCGGAGCTCAGCATACACTGCAGAGATTTCAAACCATATGCTGTGAAAGGATATACCTTTTTAATGTTTACTTATGACTATTAAATTATTGAAACAAAACATTTAACAGTTCTGTGTCACATTTAGGAATAATATCCGCTAGCAGATCCTCATGTAGTTGGTTCTTGATGTGCTTGACTGCTCTTGGGACATTTAAACTTTAGTAATGTCGCGTAAATACGCGAATAACGCCTATTATATATAATTGTTATTGTGTATTGTGAACTTGATCAAATTTGGAGTATTTCAGAATACTTTCTGATTTATGATTGAAATGAACTAGAATGAAGTATTAGCTAAATTATCTTGACGTCAACATTTAATTTTACAGTGGGCTGAACTTTCTTGATCTAATGGTGCGTCAAGGAAATATTGATAATCCTCCAAAAACGCCTCTTGTGCCTGGATTTGAGTGTTCTGGGATTGTAGAGTCTGTGGGAGAAAACACCAAAGGCTTTGAGGTATGCGCAGAAATGTTTTTAATGCTGATGTGTTGGTTGTGTACTTATTCAGGAAGCGGTTAGTACTTTTCTAAGCTTTCATAAAAATGTTCAACTGGGAAAAAAATGTCCTGGTTTTATATGCTTCCGAAATCAGTCCTTTCAGTCTGGTACTGAGTTTGCTTTATAGAGCTTAAAGAAATAGTTCACCCATATATGACATTTTCCATCCAAGATATAGACGAGTTTCTTCATTGGGTCACTTGCTCACCAGTTTATCTATTGCAGTGAATGGGTGCCGTCAGAATGAGACCTGATAAAAACATCACAATAATGCACAAGTAATCCACACGACTCCAGACCACCAGTAAACGCCTTGTAAAGCTTGTTTTTTTTAGAAACAAATCCAGTGTTTTAACTATAAACTATTGCTTCTGGCCAAAATAATTGAGGCCATAATCCATTAAAAAACATTCCTCCAGTGAAAATGGAAAAAGTCCATCGCCTGTTGTCCTCTCACATCATATTTGTTTAGAACTGTTTTGGACGGTTTATGCTTATAAACGGTGCTTGATCTTTGCATACTTCTACCCTCACTTTATCAGACGATGCAACCTTTTCTCTGGACAAAGCAATATAATAGATAGAGGATGTATGTATTTTAGCTGGAAGCAAGGTTTGGAATTAAAAATGTTTTAATGATGAATTTGTTTATTACAAACACACAGCTTTTCACTTCACAAGATGATAATTGATGAGCTGGAGTCGTGTGGATTACTTGCAATGTTTTTAGCAGCAGGTTGGACTCTCATTCTGACGGTACCCATTCACTGCAGAGGATCCATCGGTGAGCAAGTGACGCAATGCTACATTTCTCCAAATCGATGAAAAAATAAACTCATCTGCATCTTGGATGGCCTGAGGTTGAGTAAATTGTAAGCATATTCTGGATGAACTGTTCCTTTAAGGACATGTTTTGCCTCATTTCAGATAGGTGACAGAGTGATGGCCTTTGTAAACTACAGTGCTTGGGCAGAGGTGGTGTGCACACCGTTGGATTTCGTGCATAAGATCCCAGACGACATGACATTCCCAGAGGCGGCTGCCTTCTCTATGAACTTTGTGGCTGCCTACATGATGCTGTTTGAAGTGGCCAATCTCCGGGAGGGGATGTCTGTATTAGTTCACTCCGCAGGAGGTGCGGTGGTAAGTCTGTAGCTTTGAGGGAAAGGTTTAGTAAAGAAACTTTGATGTCGCAGATATTAAAGTTGTGTTTATTTTAGCTTATAGAAAAATGGGGATTTGGACACAAACATATAATCTGATCCCATACTGATATTCAGATTTCCAAGCTTAACAATATGGCTTTTGGTGGAATATGATCAAAATGAGTTCAAAACTGGAAACTGGTGAACACATTTTGTTCCGTTTCTTCTCTTTTTCCATATTAGGGTCAAGCAGTCGCTCAACTTTGTTCCACTGTCCCAAATGTCACTGTGTTTGGGACCGCCTCACCCTTCAAGCACGAAGCCATAAAGCATTCAGTCACTCATCTGTTTGACAGAAACATCGACTACGTTCCGGAAGTTAAGAAGTAAGCACAAACACTGTTGTTGTTGTCACGCGAAAGTAAATGAGCATAGAGAAGCGGGATTGGTTAGATGATGAGAATATAAAAATGAGTCATACTGGGAGGCCAGTGCAAGTCTGAGATTCAGACGTCACCAGTACTTCCTCTAGACCTGCGTGGCTCCAGTCCCCATGGCAACACCCAGCAGATGGGAAAGTAGTGTGTTGTAGTATGGGGAGGGGCAAATGTACGTCCTTCTGATCAACCACACAAAGCCAGAAAATGTGCAGCAACTGACTCATTCAGAGCCAACCGCAACAAATATGAGAAAACATTATTTTGTAGGAGATTAAAGGGCTGGTGTCTAAAAATTCCTATGGTGAATCTCATTTGTGTAGCATCTTTTGATATATTATTTTTGGTTACACTGTATTTTAAGGTGTCCTTGTTACAGTGATACATTTAAGTATATTAATTAACTACATGTACTTACTCTATGGTTGGGGTCAGGATTAGGGTTTGTGTCAGGGTTACTTGAATGTAATTATGCTTAATTTATTGCTGTTGTTATAATAGTAGGTACCTGTAACGTGTAACAAGGACACCTTAAAATTGTTACCCGTTACCTTATTTTTTTACTGGTTTCCTTTACAAAAATACATGAATAAATAGATAGATAAATAAATAAGAAGTATTGTAGCAAGATATTGGTGGAGTAATGCTAAAAATACTACGGTAATTCTAAAATACAAAACAACAACATAATATTATCTTGGTTTATGCCTAGAGTGATAGTACTTGATGCTTCTTGTTAGTTTGATTCTAACAAAAAAATAAAATTAAATAAATAAATAAAAAAATGTCTAAAAATTCCTATGGTGGATTTGTAAAGCATCTTTTTATCACCCAACATTTTGGTGCACGTTTATGTTTGAACAAAGCCAGAAGATGTGCAGCAACTGACTCATTCAAAACCAGCTGGAAGAAATTTGAGAAAACATCATTTTGCAGACGATTGAAGGGCTATTTTCTAACAATTCCCCTGGATATCATTTGTAAAGCATATTTTGTCTGTTTTTATTGGTTTCCCTTACAAAAAATGTCTTCTAGCAAGACTATGGTGCAGAAATGGTACAAATATCATGGTAATTCTAAAATGAAAACAACAACTACAGCATGATATTATCTTCGTTTATGTCTAAAATGATAGTACTTGGTACTTTTTGTTAGTGTTATTCTAACAAAATATATATTTAATTGAAGTGATTTGATCTTAATGCATGTTTATGTTTAGACAAAGCCATAAAATATGCAGCAAATAAAAAAAAGTATAGCAAGACCATGGAGCACAAATGGTAAAAAATACCCTGGTAATTCTAAAATACAAAACAAATACAACATGGTATTACCTTGGTTTAGGTCTACAATGGTAGTACTTGCTGTTTTTTTTTTAGAATATATGTGATATGTGTTTTTAAGTGATTTAATCTTGCTGCATGTTCATGTTCAAACAAAGCCAGGAAATGTGTAGCATGACCATGGTGCAGAAATGGTAAAAAATACAACTGTAATTTTAGAATTTAGTAATGGTAATTGTAGTACAATGGTAGTAGTTCTAGAATACATGTCAGTGTATTATGGTAGCATTTTATGCTTTTTGTTAGTTTTATTCTAACAAAATAAATATTTGAATGAAGTGATTTGCTCTTGGTGTATATTTATGTTAGAACAAAGCCAGAAAATGTGCAGGAACTGACTATTATTCTGTAGAAGATTCCATATGGTGGATCTCATTTGTATATTATTATTTGTATATTATAGCATATTTGTCCATTATTATTGGTTTCCTTTACAAGCAAGAACATTGTGCAGTGATGGTAAAAATACCTTGGTAATTCTAAAAATACAAAACAACAACATATTACTACCTTGGTTTAAAACTATGGTAGTACTTGGCACTTTTTGTTAGTTTTATTCTATCAAAATATGTTTTATTGAAGGGATTTGATCTTGGTGCACGTTTATGTTCAAACTAATTCACGTAAATTGAGTATGAGAGAGGAGATTAGGACTCTTTTCATCTCTGTGGTTCCACATTCCTCTCAGGATCAGGGGCAAAGCAAAATTAAATTGGTCTCAAGTTGGTCTCTCTTCCACAATAGGCAGGACCCCAGGCCTCCTAATGGTTAAGCCTTGCAGGCGGTCCAAGAACCATGAAGTCAGGAATGCATTAGAGCCCATGTTTCTAAAGACATACCTCTCATTCCTTAGCAGCTGAGACGCTGAAAAATATTCAATATTAGGGCAATATTAATATTCCAAATTTTCAGAGGCCCCAATTTAAGCAAGCTACCAGTGCTTAGAGCAGCAATATGGTTAATGTCTTCTAGCAAGACTATGGTGCAGAAATGGTACAAATATCATGGTAATTCTAAAATGAAAAACAACAACTACAGCATGATATTATCTTCGTTTATGTCTAAAATGATAGTACTTGGTACTTTTTGTTAGTGTTATTCTAACAAAATATATATTTAATTGAAGTGATTTGATCTTAATGCATGTTTATGTTTAGACAAAGCCATAAAATATGCAGCAAATAAAAAAAAGTATAGCAAGACCATGGAGCACAAATGGTAAAAAATACCCTGGTAATTCTAAAATACAAAACAAATACAACATGGTATTACCTTGGTTTAGGTCTACAATGGTAGTACTTGCTGTTTTTTTTTTAGAATATATGTGATATGTGTTTTTAAGTGATTTAATCTTGCTGCATGTTCATGTTCAAACAAAGCCAGGAAATGTGTAGCATGACCATGGTGCAGAAATGGTAAAAAATACAACTGTAATTTTAGAATTTAGTAATGGTAATTGTAGTACAATGGTAGTAGTTCTAGAATACATGTCAGTGTATTATGGTAGCATTTTATGCTTTTTGTTAGTTTTATTCTAACAAAATAAATATTTGAATGAAGTGATTTGCTCTTGGTGTATATTTATGTTAGAACAAAGCCAGAAAATGTGCAGGAACTGACTATTATTCTGTAGAAGATTCCATATGGTGGATCTCATTTGTATATTATTATTTGTATATTATAGCATATTTGTCCATTATTATTGGTTTCCTTTACAAGCAAGAACATTGTGCAGTGATGGTAAAAATACCTTGGTAATTCTAAAAATACAAAACAACAACATATTACTACCTTGGTTTAAAACTATGGTAGTACTTGGCACTTTTTGTTAGTTTTATTCTATCAAAATATGTTTTATTGAAGGGATTTGATCTTGGTGCACGTTTATGTTCAAACTAATTCACGTAAATTGAGTATGAGAGAGGAGATTAGGACTCTTTTCATCTCTGTGGTTCCACATTCCTCTCAGGATCAGGGGCAAAGCAAAATTAAATTGGTCTCAAGTTGGTCTCTCTTCCACAATAGGCAGGACCCCAGGCCTCCTAATGGTTAAGCCTTGCAGGCGGTCCAAGAACCATGAAGTCAGGAATGCATTAGAGCCCATGTTTCTAAAGACATACCTCTCATTCCTTAGCAGCTGAGACGCTGAAAAATATTCAATATTAGGGCAATATTAATATTCCAAATTTTCAGAGGCCCCAATTTAAGCAAGCTACCAGTGCTTAGAGCAGCAATATGGTTAATGATGTCCCTTTTCTCCTGCAGGATATCTCCAGATGGAGTAGATATTGTACTGGATAAGCAAGCTACCAGTGCTTAGAGCAGCAATATGGTTAATGATGTCTCTTTTCTCCTGCAGGATATCTCCAGATGGAGTAGATATTGTACTGGACTGTTTGTGTGGAGAGAACACAGGAAAAGGCCTAACTCTGCTCAAGCCCATGGGAACGTACATCCTGTATGGTTGGTACAAACGGATGAAGAGCATTTGCATAACACTGAAATTAATTAAACATTTCAAAATGAAAATTCTGTCATCATTAAGCAGTGTGACTTTCCATCTTCTGTGGACCACAATATGCGTTGTTTTGAAGAATGTTCTTGCAGTTCTTTTTATGAGAAACATTTAATCACTGTAAGCTGTAAAGCACCAGAAAGGACAAAAAATGTGCTATAAGCGATGTTCCCAATCCCTTGTGAAAAAGAAGTACATTTTAGCATACTGTAAAAAAGAGGACTTTTAAGGGAAGTAATGTACATTAAAGGAATGTACTTAAGTGCAAACTGAACTGTTTTTGGACACTTAACTGCATGTTATTTAAAATGAAATGACAATTTATTTTAGTTTAAATTTATATTAAATTCAATTAGTTGAAATGCAGAGTGCTTTTTTGACCCACTTAAATTGAATGCAAGTATAATATGCAGTTTCATATAGAAATATGGTTTAAGTGTACTGCTGAATGTACTGACAAACATTTATGGTAATCTGAAATATTCTAATGTCATTTTCTATTCATGTAATTTTTATTGAAACTTGTATGTCATTTATTTAAATACATTTGTAATTACACATTTGTTATGATGAAATTACAATTTACTACATTTAAAATATATTAACTTTAAATGTAATCTTGAATAGCACACTAGTTAAAATTATACTTAAATACCTTTTCACGTATTTTAGTATACTATTCAACACATCAAAATAATTATACTTGTTTAAACATGACAATAGTATATTAAAACAATTATTTAAATTGTAATTTAAAGTACATTTAATTTGACATTATTACAAATTAGACTTTAATTTGACATTATTACAAAGTGCATTTTTAAAAGCATATTTAAGTGTGTTAGGAAACATAGCGTACTCTCTTTAAGTACGCTTAAGTGACCTTATACTTCATCAATGTTATAATATCTGCAAGTACAGTATTTTAAAAATATATTTTTTAGATTTAAAGTCCCCATGAAATCAAAATTAAAGTTTTTTGGGTGTTAGTATCAATATGTTAGTCTTAAGGTTATCTGTAAAGCAGTGTGCTCCAAAACAGTGACAAAATTTGCATTTATAAGATATAAGCATTCAAAGCTTGCAGTTCGTCACTTCCGCCAAAACGGCTCAACAATTTTTTTTGACGTCACATCGTACTTCATCTTCTCATCAAATCTTCTGACCAATCAAATGCTCTCTAGAATCCGAAGCACCCGCCCCCTGCACTACAAATAGACACTGAAGCGGCTTGAGATTGGTCACTTATTCACAGTGTAGTATTTCCTGTACAGTGAATGGCTCGAAGTGCACAATGTAAGTGATAGGGAACGATTCAGACAGTGCAAATATGCTTTTGATTGGTGCAAATGAGGTGTGGTTTCACGTTGTTTCACGCGAACCGCGGCAGCGCAAACAGTCTGATCCGGACTTTGGCTCCGGTCCAGAGACGCGATCGCACGGAGCGGATCATATGCACGAGTCGGCATATATTAAAAACTTTTACAACTACACAGCCTCAGCATGATTATGACCACTATTTTGTTTTACTAAGAGTTTCATATTGAATCAAGGGGTTAATCTATTAGACTGTGACTGTCAAAAGCGGCTTTACCGAGCTCAACGGCTCTGGCCCGAGCAGATATAAACAAAACGCTATTGGCTATTTTAAAAAGGGGGCGGGGCTGCTCGATATGTCCCTCCCTCTCTTCCTGTTTCAGTTGAAATTACGTCACAACATAGAAAAATGCTGCATGTTTCAAGGCACTTCAGGGGACCTTTAAGTACACAACAAGTGGACATGACCAATGATGACAGAACGTTCATTTGTGGTAACTATTGCATCATGCAATGGATTGTAGAGAAAGAGAAAAAAATGTAGCAAGATGTCATTCCCCATGAGTAGGAAATATCCAAAAGGTTCATGTGTGACCTCTTGACCCTCATTTAAAAGCAGCCACTAGACACACAAGGTGTCACATTCTAGGTGGCCAACAGCAAATTGAGGTTAATCACATAATTCTCATAAAAGATAATGCCTGCAACTTTAATTACTTCAATTCCCTTAGCTTTCTGGCCCATTAGGGATATTTAATTAGGAGGGACACCACAGAGCAGAGATAATGTAAAATTTTGGTTTAAGAACACATTACTGCCAAATGAATGAATCAGTCAACATAATTCTGGATGGAGCTTATTAATAAGAGAGCCATTTGGCATTGCTGTAATAGTGCCATGTTTTATTGCTTCATATGCCAAGACTGTACTTTGTATCTTTTAACATTTTAAGTCCATTAAAAATGGAATGAGTAATTTCTGAGCCACTTGCATCTACAAAATTGATAATTGTTTTTAAACATGTTTTCCGATTACTCCCCATCTGCCATTGGTTAAGTTAAAGCTTGATAGACTGGTTGAACCAATAGTGTTGCATCGGGTTTGTTGGGATGCTCAAACAGTGCAGTGTTTTGAATGCTTCACAGAGACACAGTGTTACACCGTTAAATGCATTTTATGCAAGTAGTCTGCTATACTGTTATGAAGATCTCATTGATTTACATTACACGTTATCAGAATTTCATCTTACTTTTTGGCCATAAGAATGTCAGCAGCTGCACCACATTTTTGCTCAGTGTGGGCCTCTGAATAGAACTGAAGTATGAGCTCCATATTCTCCTATGTCATACTATATGAGCCATAGAAGTCTGGTGTATCAAATATGATACTCAACAAAAAGCACGTGCAAACCTTTTTTATATCATATTTAAAAAGGCTTCTGAAAAATATATACAGTATTAAAATATATCTTTGTGAACACATTTCCAGGTTCATCAAACATGGTGACAGGAGAGACAAAAAGTTTCTTCAGTTTTGCTAAATCTGTGAGTAGAGTTTGAGATCTATTTTCCATATCATCTTAAGTGTTGCACCATGACGAAGTTTTGGTGGTCAGTTTGTTAAAAACATTGCTCTTTATCTCACAGTGGTGGCAGGTTGAGAAGGTGAACCCTATCAAACTCTATGAGGAGAATAAAGTCATAGCCGGATTCTCGCTCCTGAACCTCCTCTTCAAGCAGGGAGGGTGCAACCAAGTCAAAACAGCGGTGCAAAAACTTCTTTCCCTTTACGACCAAAAGAAGATCAAGCCTGTTGTGGATTCCTTATGGGCGCTTGAGGAGGTAAGAGAAAGCGCTTTCAAAAGCAATCACATTCTTCCAACTTATGAAATATATAAACACATCGTACTCATGTACTCCACCAGTCAGATGTTTGGAATAATTACGATTTTGTAACGTTTTTGATAGGAGTGTCTTATGCTCACTTTGGCTGCATTTATTTGATCCAAAATACAATAAGAAAACTATAATGTTGTAAAATATTATTATAACTTAAAATTATAATAAATAAAAATACATTTTCTGTCGAAATATATTTTAATTTATTGCATGCTCTATTTTAGGATTCTTTTGATGAATAGACGGTACAATAGAACAGCATTTATTTGAAATATAATTTTTTGTAACATCCTTGCTGTATAAAAGTATTCAATTCTTTTCTTTCTTTCTTTTTTAAATCTTACTTACCCCAAAATTTGAAATGGTGTATCATGGTACCCACTAAAATATTAAGCAGTGAAAACAGTTTTCTACATTAATAATAACACCAAATCAGCATATTAGAATGATTTCTGAAGGATCATGTGACACTGAAGACTGGTGTAATGCTGAAAATTCAGCTTTGCATCACAGGAATAAATTACATTTTAAAATATATTCAAATTGAAAACCGTTCTTTAAATTGTAGAAGTATTTTAAAATATTACTGAGTTAAAATAAATACAGCCTTGTGAACATAAGAGACAGTAACATAAGAAATATTGCAAACTTTTGACCGGTAGTGTATCTTTACGTGCATATTTGACTTTTAGAACTGAACATCACAATTTTTACTCATTTCAATGCAAAGAAGTTAGCCAATCATAACAGAGCGTATTTACACAGAAGAAGCCTTAAAGGTGCAGTGGCGGATACAAAAATGGAAATTTCTTAGGTACAGAAAGAATAAAAATTAGTAATGTAAAACAACATTTTGGCTGTTTTTAGATCATGGAACCTCAGGAAAAGGAAATGAAAAGTAAAAAAATATATACGACAGGATCTCTATGGAATCTATAGATATATCAAAATATTCGCAAGTCTGTGAATTGCCATTCACTACCCATTTTACATTTAAATGTGATAAATTCACTACTCAATGTTGACTTTAATTTCATTGATCAATTCAACACAGTGACTCATTTTATATTTAGAGTTTGATTCTCTTTCTTTGTGCTTGGGTTGTCAAGTGTGGGTTTCTGTCATCAGTCAAGCAATAAATTTACCTCCTCTAAATCCCTGAAAATTGATTTCCCTAAAGCCCTTTGAAAGCTTGGCTTTTAAGGTTTGTAAAAGTAAGATACGTGCCAACCTCCATTCCTGCATGCAATCAGCTGCTGTCTCAGACCATCAGATGACAGATGGGCAGTCCGGCCCTGGTGCATCTTTTTGCTTTGATTACGGCTGGTTTATGTCGTTCTGCTCTTCCTACACAGCCAGACAGCCCTCCCTCTGTGAAATCCAACAGAGCAGCACAGTCTGCGGCCAAACTTGCCTGTGTTTAACAGAGCTGTGTGTGATACGCTTCATTCACATTGCAGAAGTCTCATAGAGTTGATTGATAGCACATGGAGCCATTATTGCATTATTAATGTTGAAAATGATGAATAACTCTGCGATTTCCTGTGTGGTGTGCTGACACATTTTGCTTCTTAGAATATGCAGCTGTAAATTACTTTTCCTTATATACTATACTACAATACTGTACAATACTATACTAAGTTTTAGTATAAGGAACGGACGTGTGTTGCCGTTTCCCTTTATTTTAGCCATGCTAGTGCTATAGCTCCCATGTTTCCCCTTCCATTTAATGCATTAAATTGATCAAAAGTGACAGTAAAGACTTTTAAATTGTTATTTCAATTTCAAATAAATGCTGTTCATTTGAACTTTCTGTTCATCAAAGAAACCTGAAAATGTATCATGGTTTCCACAAAAATTTTAACTGTGCACAACTGTTTTTATTGATGATAATAAGAAATGTTTCTTGAGCAACAAATCAGTATATTAGAATGATTTCTGAAGGATCATGTGACACTGAAGACTGGAGTAATGATGCTGAAAATTCAGCTTGGCCATTACAGGAATAAATTTTAAAGGGGTCATATGATGCGATTTCAATTTTACCTTTCTCTTTGGATTGTTACAAGCTCCGCTGAGGAAATACAGCAACTTCGCGCTGTGGATCGCCGGATCGGCTTTCACCGTGGACAAAGCGAAGTCCAGCCCGGGGTCGTCACATGTGGTTGCCGCAAGCCCGCCGGACGCTCCTTTGTCGAATCCGCCGGCCGCGCCTTTCTCAAGCCCACCGCCTCTGCTCACTCTAGCCGGCCTCCGCTCACTCAAGGCGTGTGTGACGCTGTTTCGTTGTGAAAGCGAAACTACTTTGTTTGGCCTTCCAAAAGAGGACGATATCCGCTTCGTCATGCCTTAGAAAACAGTATAGTACTGTATTTTTATCAAAATAAATGCAGATTTGGTGAGAATAAGAGACTTCTTTCAAAAACTTTAAACATGTCTAACTGACCCCAAACCTTTACTTATATTAAGTCATGTCACTTATTCTGGTTGCTTGTTTTTCTTGCAAAATCTGGCAACGCTGAACTGAACCATTAATAGATTAATAATTAGTTGGGCTAGTTGAAGATATTAGAAGTCAGAGTGTTGCAATCAGCCCTGTGAAAAAATAAATGATATTTAATAAACCAGTGGATCTTACATAAGAAAGAGCAAACATCAATGTAATATCACTGCTTTAATATTCAGCCTGTTTTAATGCATTTTTTTTTTTTACTTTATATGTTACAGACTTTTAGGAATAATGTGCATTTACAGCAAAACTGTCACAACCTCTCACAGTTCATATGAAATCTTGAATTGAAGCTGCCAGCTAAAGTATTAACAGGGTCCAAAATTAACACTCGGCAAAGTGCCAACTGCAAGAAAAAAAAAAAGGTTTTGGTGAGTAAATCAAATCAAGTCAGTCGCCACAGAGAAATAAAGCCTGTCTTGCTTTGGAACGAGATCGATTCACTTGCATTATTTTTATCAAATAAAAACAGGAAGGATAAGTCTTGAGTTTTAGTGATTAAATTTTCTTCACACATTTGCAGGTAGCATCTGTCATTCACGTTATAGTATAGTGCATAAAAGATAAAATAGACATACGATTTAAAATCAGAGGAAATAATACTTGAGACCGCAAAAGAACAATATCCAAAATATAAATAATAATAATAATAGTTTTGTCCCTATTTTGGGTCTTTAACTAGTGTGCTTATTGTGTTGTAAAACACTTTTGCTGCTGCTGAGGTGGAATATGGGTAAGGTTAGAAGTTTATGTGTGGGTTAAGGGTTAGGAGAAGGGTCAACAGTGTAGTTATAGATCTATGTACAGAAATGAATCACGGATGTAATTACAGCACATGCAGATATTTGGAAAATATAAATACTGTATATGTTGTTACAGTCTATTTTGGTGAAAATCTTTTTACTAAAACATATATATATATAAATTGCTTGCTTATAGAACAGTTGTATAAACTTGAACATCGACATTCACAGTTAGATTGTACTGTCGAATTAGCTTTTTTTTTTTTGACTGTGACTGAATCACAGCCAAGCACATATTCTGAACAACAATACTGTTCCTCATGTGAAATTTTGTTATGCTAGGCTGAACTCATATAATACAGTAAGCTTTAATAGCTGTCATCTGCATGACTCTCTGCGTACTGTGATTCACTCTCTCACTGAACGCTTTCACACATTTCCACCAGTGTTTCCCTGCTGCTGGTGGAGTGCAGTGTTTATATCACACTGATTGATTGCATCAGCCGAGAGCATGTGTCAGACTCTTGAATTTGTGGTTATTACTGCATTTGTTGTCTTTTTGTGTGTATAATCAAATTCAGTTCTTGTGTTTTCCTACCTGGCTTTTGGGGGGGAAATGCTGGCTGTCAGCACAAGAATGCATCATTGACAGATGTTTTTAGTGCTGTGCTGGAACCTGGAGGCAGCATCACGACTGCTCAGGAAAGACTTTTTTTATAAGAGATGACCACAGGCTTGATTAGTTTTTAGTCAGAATATCACAGGTATGGTTTTAATACAACAATATAATATAATATTATATTTCTTTCATAACACAAAAACATGGAAAAGTAACATAAGGTTATGTCCAAAATAAGTAGGCCTACCCAACACGCAGGCACCATCCAGAATTGAATCGAAACTTACAATCTGATTAAACAGAATTTAATTTTAGAACAAACAAAGTGAATTGAAATTCAAATAAATGCATATACATAAGGGTAATTAATTAGTTCAAAAAAAGTAGTAGGAAAGTTCAAATTCAAATTTGTAAGATTTTCAAATTAAAAAATTTAAATAGAGACTCTTAAATTCTCGAAAACAAATTCTTATTATATATTAAATAATTAGGACTCATTTTGGGCTCTTGCCTTGTCACTGTTTAATTGCATACAGAATCATTCATTACAGCACACATCACTTAAGATGTATTAAAAAGTTGTTTGTAGTTTTGAGCTTGTTATGTGAGTATGGGGAAATAGTCGTGTTCTTCTAAATGCTAATTCTAAACATTCGAGAGCTCATTATGCAGGACACACATGTAATTCTGTTTGTCAGCTGTGATCTTTTGGAGAGACTTCAAAGCAGCGTACGGGTAACATTAGCATGTCCAGCTGGTGCAGATGCAGAGAATGTTGATTTGTGCAAGGCATGCAACTCTGACATCATATTTCATAAAATATTGATGCTCACACCATTGAACTGTAAGCCTTAAACTTGGAAAGAAAATCTTTTTCTGACAAATTAAATTTTTTCCCCTAACTATGGAAGCCCATTTCCGCCACTGAATAAAAAATTATGTCCTGCGTACGCTGCTTTTCTCACACTTCTGACTTTTTTTTCTCAGAATTATGAGATATAAACTCGGGGGAAAAGACTGATATGTTCTCAGAATTGTGAGTTTGTGTCTCACAATTCTGACTTAATGACTC